TAATAGCAACGCAGCTTAAAATGTCAGTTTCTGAGGCTGGTGTGAGATGAAAACTCTGGAGAGCTTTAACGACCACATCGGTGATATAAATGCATGTTCCTTCAACTCACTGGGGCGTCACAGCCTGCTAAGGACAGACTGCTGAGGACGAACAAGGGCAGCAGGAATGAAGCAGAGCTTGAAGCTAATCGTAATCCCCCCACACTGCATGTTAGCTCTTACTTTACCCAGGAGAGCTCTTATGTCTTATCAAGACAGAAATGAAGACTTAGCCTGTGCATGATCATGTTTAATTAAGAATCACAAGTGTATGCCTTCAATGGGTGTAACATCGTGCTAATAGAAGATAACATCTCTTAAGAGACAGAGGTCATTTTGGAAATACCTCTTACGACCATGATACTCAGATAAGAGCTGGTTTCCGATGTGGGGAATAAAGGTGAAATGCAGGTTAATCATAAAAGCCATTTCTTGCCTTCAATTAAAAATATATGCATTAGTGAATCATTTCAGTCTCCTGTCGCTAGAAGTAGTTCTCCCACTTCTCTCTGTGAAGGATCTGCAGTTCCATAAAGACTTAACAGGAAAAGGTAGAAAAAGGTCACAGTAGGAGTATGTGGTAATTTTTGTTTCTACAGATGCTCCGTGAGGTTCTAGTTAGCCACAGGAGTGCATTGAGCTAAATGCTAATATCGGCATGCTAACAGACTCACAGTGACAATGCTAACATGTTAGTATGCTAACATTTGCAAATTAGATCTAAACACAAAGTACAGCTGTGGCTGTAATGAATGTCTTTAATTTGACAGGTATTTAGTCCTTAGTCTAGAATTGGAAAGTCAAATTTTGACATGCTGGGGTCCAAGGGTCTATTAAGTAACACTGGATACAGATTCCATCATCCTCTGGGGACCATGAATATCTGTACAAAATTTCATAATGATCTATCCAATAGTTGTTGAGATATTTTAGTCTGGACCAAAGTGAAGTACCAGCTGACAGTCTGACATTGCCATCATCGCACAGCATGGCTAAAAACTACACTTATGGTAATGCAACATCAACAACAATGAAACACAGGGATCTCAAAGCCTTCCCAACAAAATCAATCAGATAATCAATAACATCATATGTTACAAATCAAAACGACTGCTGCTTCCATAACCTTGATATTTAGGTAAATCTTCCCCATCCCTACTGAACATATGATCTAAAATAAATGTAATACATAACAATCTATTATTTATTAAGCATTTAAATAAATTCATAAAACATTAAATAAGATTTTATAGGTGAAAAGTTATCATTTTATTTACACAGTGATTATCTCTTTCAGAGCTGCCAGCTCTCATGCATTGACCATGAGACTCACACAACTGACACTTTTCACATGATGTCACGCCACATGTCCATTTTCTCATCTCCACCTAGCTGATGTGATGTGACACCAGCTTACACTTGGAAAATAATCATGTGGACCCACTCTCGCGCTGTGAGTCGCAGACAGTTTTGTGACACAGTGGAGACTTTACTTGTAGAGTTTTGTGAAAGAAAAATTAAAAAATGAAGTGGCACCAAGAGCAGCAAGTTTGATGAATTGATCTCCGTCTGTCACTGATTAATTATTGTTGCTTAGCTTCTTAAAATTTTAAAGTTAAGCATGGATCCATGAAGGCAAGAAAGATAATGTTTCTAAAAGCCATTAAATTTAAGACAACGTGATAGTGGCTGTACAATGTATTATTTTTTTCTTATTTTTACTTTTTTTTAAAAAGGGAGTTTTCACAGTTCTGAGTCACAATGAAGAGGTATAATCATAATGTACAAAGATCACTATTTACTATGTGACTTAAAATATACATTTCATATTTTAATCATAGACTGTATATAAAAAGATTTTAATACATATCTTATATGTTGTGATTGGCAGTGCAAATGGAACATTATTTGTTCATAGTGCCATAAATAATGTGCCTTTAAGCCTTTAAGCTTATATCCTCATTTGAATACCACAGTATGTGATGTTCAGTAGGGTATGGAGACAGTAAGATGGCTTTTTTCTGATGTATATTTACCACGTTTCTAACAAAAATATTAAACTAGCATTATTGCCTTCTTAATCATAATGTGTTGCTTTTAAGCAGCTGAAAATATGATGAAAGCATGTACAAATGCAGAAAATGATGTTCAAATCCTTTTTTGTTCTGGGGAGGAGCCCCTGACCCCCATGGTTTTCAAACAAATGTTACATCCTTGAGATGAGTTATTGTTAACAATAGCATCTGTTATCAATTAGGGGCTTTTTATTCAGTTGTTACTAGGGGCGTGACGAAATCTGTCGATATTAAAACGTGATGATGTTTATCATCAATCTGAAAAGCTGTCTCACGTGATCAGCATGAGGGAGGTTGAAATTAGCATAGAATATGCCCCTGCTCTCAGTCAAAAAAAACTAGGAGGGAAAAACTTACAGGCCTACAGGGAGATGTTTATTTATTTCCTGGGAATATCTCTAAGCAAGGAGATAAGTGTGGTGGAGAATGGCTGACTGAAGTTCTTTTGGTAATGGTTTTAAAACAGAAATGGTTAATTGAGTGTATTCTCCAATTGTATTCACATGGCTATTTTAACTATTTCTACAAAATGTTTATATCATGAAAATTGAATAACCAATGAATTGCCAATATACCTGTATGTTAGTTGTTGGTGTTTTGGTTAGATTGAAATATCTATATATATGCTCTAATCAGTATTTTCTTAACAATGGATTAAACAAATGACAAATCAGAGACAAAGACTAATCACCCAACTCTGTAGCTCACCCCTCAGCTCTTTAGAGAGTTTGAGTGTCTTTCAGCTCATTGTTTTGGTTTTTATGATTCACACTTTCGCTCTCGCCAGCGACCCTGTTAAACCCAATATAAACGACCTGCTCACCACCAAATGGCACGCAAAGTTAGTGACCAGCTGGTAAACATAGTGGAGCTTTTAGAAGCTAAAGAGCCAGATATTTCCCTTAGGAGTTCTCAACTTTGAATGAATCCTAATGTTGCTCCATATCTGTTGGATGTATAAATATGCAACTGTTTGCTTCACCCTAACTACTTTATAGGGTGTTTAAAGCTTGATGCTCTGCTCCCAAGTGGCCTTATTTGTTGCATTTTTCACATTTGTGATGCTTTTGCCTGGATTGCTACCCACATTTCCATTTCCAACTGTAGATGTAGGCTATAGGTGCAAATATGTCTAAATACATTATATTGTAAAAATGTGAATTAGAAAAAATAAAGAGAAAAGCTAAATACAGATTAACCAATGAGTGGTGTTACGTTTTACACAGTATATGCTAACAATTTATAGCCTTTCCACACAGTACTGCTAATGTGATTTACTCTGGGATTAATCCTTGACATTTACCCAGTCCATCACCCTTCAAAACAAATGATTTCCTTGACTTTAATTCACCTCATTCAGTACTTCAAATGGGATACACAGGCCACAGAATTTTGGATATAATTCCTAAATCACTCAATCATCTTCTGGAGGATTTAGGAGGACGGAGTCTCTGGTCAGACCTGTCGTCACCCTGCCATGTCTTTGATGCTTTACGATCCGTGAAATAGACCCTGCAGATGTTCGTGTTTTGAGAGCTGGCGCTGCCTTCTCTACTCCTCTGTTTTTCTTTTCTCCTTTTCCTGCCAGAAGATGAGCGGGCCACATGAGGAGGATGGCCAGTGACAGATAGAGAAGAGACGAGGTTATCAACTCTGTCAGACAGTCAATCAAAATGACTAACAGTGTAACAATGTCAGATTAGACCAGGTAGACTCTCCTTCCTGAGCCTTGTAACCTGTAATATATTTTTGCTATCTGTCATATTGTCGAATGGTAACAACATGCGCTACAGACAGAGAATGAAGTAAATACTTTGTCCTTTTACTAGCTTCCAATTTCCAAAGATATTCCATCCATTGTGCCTTTCACCTTGACTACTTGCAGTGTAAAAACGTACTTCTCTGCACAAAACAATGTGACATGCCAAGTTAAATATTGTATCTTCAACATAGTTAAAAAGCATATGAGCTCCGGCATTGACTAGTTTTGATGGTTGTTGGAAGTCAGATTTATTTATACAGTATAGGCCTTCATCACAAAAGCCTATCTGAAAGAAGTCTATGGAGACAAGCTAACCTAGATCTGATGAAGAGTCAGTCAGAAAATTTAATGATGAAATTCAGGAAAAAAACAAAATAAAACACAAGGAAACAAAACAAAGCACAAAGAAAACTAGCACGGCATGCAGCCTGACCCATCTTACCTTGCCCAATTTTCCCAACATGACCATCTTTAGATGCAAGAAGGAAAAAATACAATGAAATGTTTGACAAACCCTGTATCCTGCAGGTATGAAATACATCAAATTTTAAGCACTGAAACAGATGTGACCTTCAGTTTATTAGACTGTGTGTGTAAAAATGCGTGTTGCAAAGCATTCATTTGTCTGTTAAATCCCTGAATGTTGAGAATGAGATTTGCTACAAAGAAATCAGTTAGTGCAAGGCGGCACAATACAACAACCTCTGTGAAATTCAGCCGATTTGTCTCAATTTCCCCATCGAAGTCCTTTGAGCTTCATTGTGATCCTATTAATGGACGTCTCTGGGTAAAGATGACTTCATTGAGCCATGGAGAGTGGGATCTGACAGCCGAGTGGGGTGTTGGAATAGCAATTGGGGTGTGAGGATAAAGACGGAAAGGTGGAAGGAAGGTATAGAGGAGGAGAGGAGTGTGTAAAAGACACCTGAATAGAGAGTAATGAATCCAGAGAGGAGCACAGACATCTCTTTCATCTTCAAGCAGACTTGAGCCGCTCTTTCATCATCATCATCTGAAAAATGTGCATGCTCGTAGCACAGACACATTTACCTGCAGGGAGGAAAGACACATTTCACTTTCAAAGAAGATACTATCCCACTTTCCCTCTTGTTATTGCTTTTCAGGTCCTGCAGTGTTTGGAAGCAGAGTGAGGAGTCATTAAAGACACAGCACACACCCACTGCGAGGAACATGGACAGGTGACAATTATTTAGCCTGAAATTAGCCTTGTTATTGTGCCTGATGAATGTCTGTGGAAATTAAGGGTGAAAGCTTCAAATGGCAGGCTTACAATGAAGCATAACAAGGGCATGGGAGTGTCTGAAGAGTTGCTCATCAGGGTGACAGAAGGAGCTACAGTTTCGTGAGTGTTTTGAAAGCTGAAATAATTTGAGGGGAAGGGAGTTTTATTCTTATGATTTCTTTTGGTTTGTCTGTTCTTAGAGTTCAAATCAAGTTACATCAAGTCAGTTGTATTTTTATTAGCAAGGTGTGGGTGTAAATGTCGGTCTGAAGGTAGGCTTACATCTTTGGTGCAGATGGAAATATCTCAACAGCTCTTTGATGGTTTACCATGAAATTATACAGGAATTCATGGTCCCCAGAGGATGAATCCTAATGACTTTGGTTATCCCCAGGCTTGTCATCTTGTCCCACCAGGAGGTCAGAGCTTTCACCTATATCAAGTGAAATCTTCTACATGGATTTGCACACATTTTTGTATAGACACCAATGGTTCCCAGACATTGCATCCCTCTGACTTTCCTCTAGGACCACCATGAGGTTGACATATGTGGTTTTGATGTACCATGCGTGTAGATACAGCGATTTGAGTTGTAATAAGCTGGCTGATTCTCTGACTAGCTCCACCATCAGCTGAAATTGTTGATTTGTCCAATACTTTAATTTATGACCAAATACCTGCCAAGATAATGACATTTCCATCAGCCTCAGCTGTGTTTTGAGTTCAAGACTAATAAATAGCAAATATTAGCATGCTAAGAGGCTAAATGAAGTTAAGTGAATTCAAGTGAAGCGAATTTTCGCCTTGTGTTATTTGTGCAGATTTGACAGCTGGACTGTTTGTGTTTAACAGCCAATGTACCAACTTACAGACGTTAGCAGCAGTATGCTAGCTAGCACTGTATGCACTGACCATTTGTGGGTGGTTTTGTGCCTGTGTGCGTTCGTGTTCCACTTGATCTTAGATATCACCAGAAACTATACTGAAGTGAAACATTTCTAATTTGCCTAAATGAGCCTTTGCCTTGGTTTGCACCATCATGGGAAAATGTTCGTCTACTCAAGTCTACTCCCGTCTTTCCATTGATTTTACATGTAAGCGTGCCATATCTAAAATTCGCGTTCTGTCCAAACACCCCTTAAGATAGTGAACATTGTAAATAAACATAACTGATGTTAGCATTTAGCTCAAAGCAAGTAAAACCCTCAGCCACACAGAGCTGCTACCATATAGATGGCTATATGGCTGTCAACCATTGACAAAAGATGGATCTGTCTGTTCCTAAAGTGCACATTTTTGGTTTTAATTAGTTATTTGATGCTATAAAAGTTCCATGTCATGAATGACAGCTGAGCCCTGCTTGCAATGGAGTTGGCCAGGTGTACGGGCGGTACCTCGATACCACGGCTCCAACCCCGATCACTACTGCTCACACTGTTTTATTTTTATCACACGGCTTTATTTTGGAAAGTGGAGTGTGTGGAGACGCATCATTCATCTTTATACACAGTCTTTGCTGTAGACTCGTAGTCCTGTTTTTGTATCTTTTAATTTACCTCAAAGGCAGAATGTTAAAAGCGAATACAAGCCTGCAAGCCTACAAGCCTGTGCTCACTGTCCCTGTATATCCCTGTCCTTCCTCAGGTGATCTGAACCTGGTTTGTCATTCTGTGTGTGTGTGTGCATGAGTCAGTGTGTGCTGCTGAACTAAAGCTCAGTGGCCTTACTCGGTCCGCAAGCAGAAGACGTGATGTGCCCGGACAATCTGACTGGATTTACTGTGACCCTGTTAAGCTGAGTCCTCGGCTGCTGCACAGACAACCTGGCTTTGCTTAACTAAATTCCTTCTTAAGTAAAGAGACAGCTTAGCGAAGGGGAGACACAACAACTTTCAAAGGGCATTTAGGTAGGTAGTTTATTTTCACTTGAGATGAGCTTAGTCACCGGCTTAGTCATCATTAAAGTGACTTCACCCCGTTACCCCCTGCTCCGAGAACACAGAGTGACTGGGATTACTGCAACAGTCTTTACTATAATGGCATATAAATCTAATCTAAGAAATCGACAATTCACATCTTGATCTGCTTATGTTTTCTGCAGGTGAGTGGCATTCAGAGAAATTACTGGCTTGTGATTTTGCAACATAATTACATAATTACAATAACATACACCTGAGGTTTTTGTAGCTGTCCTTGGATTTGCCAGTTTCCTCTCAATAATTGGCCGCAGGATTCCTGGCTGTGAGATTGCCGTTTGTCCAGTTATGGCAGCTTCTGCTTTCCAACAGTCCCCATAGACTGAAAGTGCTGATTCCAAGTGCTTTTATAAGAGAATTTCCTCTCTCTTAATCTCAAAACGGTCTCCAGATGCCTTTTTTTGTGCGAGTCAGCCCCGGTTTGATTAATGTGATCGGGGAGTGCTGAAAGTGCTCCAAGGCTCAGAGGTGTCACCCAACACTGCTGAATAAATGAACAGAACTAATTGTTTGTTTATGATTTGAAATATTAATAACATTGAATATATGTGGCCGTCAGTTGAAATCACCATTTGGGACAAATATGTGCTGTGGGTGGGCTTCCGTTAACAGTAACAGTGCTGGCCGCGCTGACATTAGGACACAACTCATTTCATATATTATATTATTCCCTTAAGAAAGAAAAACTGTGTCTATTTATAATTAAAGTAGCTTACATAATGTTTTGGGAAGTTTTCTTGGGGTAAACATTTGAAGGGGAAACTGCTAAAGATGGGAGCGAAGATAGTGGCTTCTGTTAATGAGATGATGAAATATTCTCCAACATTTTACTGCTCATTGCACATCTGATTCACTTTACTGTATGTCACTTACAGAGGAAAGCAAAGGGAAATGCTATCACAGTTACATTTACACAGCCATAGGGACCTTGGACACAGGTGAAAGTGGCTTTGACATTTATCATTAAGTATGATTGGACTTCAAGGATCCTCAAGTTCTAAACCGACAAGTATTCCCGAGCCACTGATTAATGGACTATTATACAGTATGTTCTGCTCTAAAGCCACTTAGAACACGGATCAGGGTTTCCACAAGCAGCAGGATAATGAGTACAGAGAACCTACGGTGCTTGTGTAGGAGCACTGAAAATTTGTTCTTATGTTGCAGTTTGGAGTTCTGGTGGGCCTCATCAGGATTTCTGCTCCCTGCCTTTCTAATGCTGCAAGTTTAAAGAGGATGACGCTGAATCTCAAGACTAAATCCCATCTCCCTGGTGGTGCAAACCCCAGGCAAAGTTTTGTTTACGCTGTGCTTTATCAGTGATCTGGGAAGCATTGTAAATCCTTTGCATCTCCCCTTTCATCTCCATACAGCACCTTGATCCTCACTGCGTCATTAGTGCTGCGGCAATAATGAGAGAGTGGGGTGAAGAATTGCAACCTTCTGGTTGCAACGCTTTGGTGTGTGTGTCTGTGTGTCTGTGGAAGGGGGAGGGAGGCACTACTCATTATAGAAAGACTTTATGTAAATCCAAAAGCCTCTGTTGTTGTTAATCTTGGTGAGGAAGTGATTCTCAACATTTTATTGTGCAGCACACAGCTTTCAAAGTGAAATAAGATGATGTTGATTATGGCTGATAGTGGGGAGCAAACAGCCAGGTCTGAATTATTCTGAAGCATCTAATCAGTAACTTCATTTTGTTTTATCGCACAAAGCACTCTTGTAGGGTAGCAAAACAAATCAATATATTGTTTTGTTGATGAATACCTCCCATTTTCAAATATTTTGTAGCAGTTGGTGTCACAGTTTACAGTTACCTCTCTGGACACATTAAAAATTCTCTAAAGCCTGAAATGATTTTGTTTAGGGAATGTCAGTTTGATTTTTGCAACTTGTTCCTTATGATTATATATTATATTATTATTACTTATCACTACTCACGTTGAGTTTCCCCAAACATTAAAGATGGTCTACAGTTCATGCCACTTGAGAGGATTTTCCACCCTGTCAAGAAACACTCAGTATTTGCCACTTTTGACATGAAAATACGCATTTTATAGATGCATTACTAACAATGTGACTTCAGTATACAAATGTCAGTATTGCATTGAAAAGCCATCAGTCAAACTCTTCTGATCTTGGACAATCATATAGTTTACTTTTGGTTGTGTTGAATATCTTTACAAGCCGTGACACCACATTCAAATGTCAATATGTCAGATCTCATTTGGTTTGCAAGTGTTGTGTTACATTGCTGGACTGCCTTCACATTGTTTGATGTCTTATCATTATTCCAGACCCTCATTGCTGCTGGCAGACACAGCCCCACTCTTAATTGTCTAAATTAACATGTCCTTATGCTAATTGAATGGGGTTTTAATAGCTCTCAGCAGAGTGAAAGAGAAAAGCTATATGAATGCCCCCATTGCCCACCCACATCGAAGGTTTTCTACTGATGTATTAATGGCATCTGTGGCCGTCCAATTAGGACACAAAGCCAACAAACAGTCACTAAACAGCCAGAGTAAAGCCAAAAGAGTGATATGTTTTTATGATTTTATATAAATGTAAAACATATGCACCTAAATTGAAATACAATGATCAATAACCGGTTTCCTGTTTCTTTGTGTGCTCTGTTTATCGTAAAAAGTCCTAAAAAGAAGCAGTGCTCTACAGTTATTTTCCAAGGAAGGTTTCCCTCATGGCTTTTAAAGCAAGCTGTCTGGGCTGTTCTGACGTATCGTCAGCTATTATTCCTGATGCCTCCCATGGGGTCGTCCTCTCCATAAACTCTTCCCCTTCACTGAGCCCCTTCCTCCCATCACCAGCATGCTTGTTAAACAGACACACACATTAGTCTAACTCATGTTTCCTCCGAGGCCCACAAGCCTGCCAACCCAAAGCTCCTGCTTATCACTCAGCCTGTGCCATATATATGTGTGTGTGTGTGTGTGTGTGCGGCTGCTTGCGCACATTTATACGACTGTTCTGCACTCAGATACAACCTCTCAAAGTATGCGTACTTTTTCTTCATCCCAGCATCCTGCCTCTTCAAACATTTGACCCAGAATGCATTAGCTAAGGAGCACATATGCAAATTCTCTACACAAAAAACAATATATTGATAAGGAAGGGATTTTCTAAAGAATATTCTGATATGTGGATTAACATCATTGCAACATATATTCAGACTTATCAGCTGCAAGAAGAAGCTGTGTTTGATGCATAAATCTCTGCTGGTCAAGTGGAGTGTGAAGTCAATAGTATCAATGTATCTGCATACATATAAGTTCCTCAAAAGCGTTGAGGTCAAGGACATCAAAACTATTCTAAAGTATCAACTAGAGAAACTTACCCCAGGATAAGCTAAGCAACTCCAAGCAAAGCCAAATCAAAACATCAGTGTGATTAACTAAATCGGCAGAACTAACAGGATGCATTACAGGATCTGGGCCTGTGCAAGTCAGTGCAGTGGAGCATCCTGTTCCCTAGGACTGTAAAACCATTAAGTCAGCGCCTGCATGAATGCAAACAGCATGCTCCTGGTAAACACCAGAAGCAGGCCATTACACAGCTATTAGAAAGAAAATAACAGAGCAACCCCCTTATTGTTCCAATCAAATCTTTGGCAATTTAACCTCAGTATTTTCTCGTTATCATCTTATTTCTTTCCAGTTGTAACCAAAGTTTTTGCCATTATTTAGAAATCAACTTTTTTAGTTGTTTGTTGGCTGGTCATTGCTCTTTTTAGGAATATTCCTCTGGGTATGTTTTCCTAGTAATCTTTTTTTGACTTTTCAAAGAGGATTTCCAAAATTGTCATATTTCAAATTTGTTTTTAAAAAAGTGGTCAAATGTGATGTTTTAAAGATCATGCAGCTTGTTTAAACTAAAAAATTTAAATTATCATCAAATGAAGTAACTAATTTAACAACAAAGCAAAAAGAGAAAGAAGTCAAAGTTTTATATTGCCTCTGTGGCTCAGTGGTCTTGTTAGGCATAGATAAGGTAGGGCAGGTAAGACAAACAAGCTAAATCATAAAATTAAATCATCATCATCACCTTGAATAAAACAGCAGATCTTTAGATAAGAAGACTGATACCACTCATATCCGTTTCCTAAATACAAAGCCACTAGCAGATGGGTTAGCTTTGTTTAGCATAAAGCCTGGGAACAGGGGAAACAGCTAGCTTGGCAAAATGTAAAAATGACATGTTAGCTTAGTCTTTGTGTTACACTAAATTAAACATTTCCTAGCTGTAGTTTCATAATTAGTGTACAGACGTATAGATGGTACAGATATGAGAGTGATATCAATTTTGTCATCTAACTCCCTGTAAGAAAGGGAATAAGCACATTTCCCAAAATGTTGAACTATGGCTTTAATGGTGGAAGAGTTTATTCTGTATCCTTAATCATGCATTTTTCTGTCTTTGTACACATAATCCTTGAGGTTTTAGTGAGGCTCTCAAAAGGGTTGTTCAGATGCTTTTGGGCCATGCTTCCTTTGACACACTTGAGTTGGTTAATGTAACCCTTGGAACCTTGACTAAAACTTTTGTTTACTTAGTACTGTTTTCTGTGTAATTGCTTTCAATTGGAATATGATAATTCCGTGTCCACTTTGATACAAATCAATTAAACATTTAAACACAACATCTCTCAAAGTGTTCACTTGAGATACAGAAATTCAATCTAGGACGAAGCCTTCATCAAAAGAACCAAAAACACTCTGAAGCTGTACTTGAGGAGAAGGTGTATTTAACCTGCCTTCACAGCCACTCGTTACAACAAACTCTTTCTTTCTGTCTTTTCTACATGTCAGACTCATACAAGAGGTACACTGGACTGCTTCCAAAAACACTGAACCACATTGTGATGCAGAATATTTGCTTGTTAAAAAGATTTTAAAAACACACCAGATGCTCGCTGTTAACCACAGGCATTAACCCTTTACTGGGACGAGATTTTCCTCACACACAGCCGTTTCCACTGTGTCAATAAACACAGTGTGCAGGTTGGTAGATTTGTGCATGTTAAATATTACTGCTGCAACTATACTTCAAATGCACAAACTGCAAAAAATTTTAATAACTTATTTGAAATGAGAGTATAAGAAAAAATAAAATGACAGCATTGTAAAAAAGGGAATTTTAAAGGGTGATTTTAACATGATATAACATATAATATATAGTCCTGTGATGTCTGATAGCTCAGTGAAAGACTTGTTACTTGTTAAAGCTTGGAGACAACGCAGCTGTGCCTTTAAAGTTGGTCAATAATATTGTAAAATCAATGTTTAAAGTAAAAACAGCCTATGGAAGATGATTAAACTTGTAATGAAATCAATGCCTTGAGGACAATGTTAAGCTTGGTGAAGGTATTCTATGCCACAAACTGATTGAACAGTTTTTTTACTCTCTTCACATTTATTCTGAATGATAGCATCAGAGCAAATTGTGTCTGGCTTTAATCTCAGGAGAAAGACGTTTGGTGAATCTTGATGAAGGTATGTCTCTCCTACAAGCTCTTTAGATGCTGGTCTAATAAAAGGCACACCATGCTGCTAGCCTGCGGCCCCACTGTCGAAAGCCCTGGCCGATTAAAGCTGATTTCCCTTTAGGTCAGAGTCGCTCTTGTGAGGGTCCCACTCGCTCCGGCACTGGGTGAGTACTATCCTTGTCACTGATACCTAGCTTACTGTTGTTTGATGCTGGGCATGTCTCTGTGGCGCCCCAGCTCATCTATCACAGTAACTGTGAATGGCAGACAGGGATGACGGAGGAGTAGAGAATGACTGCTCCGACCCTCCTTACTCTCACTATATACTTAGTAATCTGTGCCAAGGCTGTTCCCTCAATGGAGAATGGAGACCTTGTATTCTGAGGCTCCAGATGGGCAAAAACAACACAGCACACACCACTACGACTCTCCAGTGAGTTAAGTGAGATCCAGTATTTCTGTTTCTGTCACTGCTTTTCTCGCTGGTTTGAAGGTGGCGAGTTGGTGAGGCTATGTTTGGCAAAGGTGATGTCACTTATTTCCATGAACCAGTTTAACATTTTAATCAAAACATTGTGACAGTTGTCCTGTTGTTTGATTATGCTGCCAGGCCACTGTCAATCAAATCTGATCAAACCACACCCACATGGTCTTGAAGAAGCCGATTATTGAATGTTGAAATATTAATAAATGATAGCTATTGGTGTTTTGTTTTCCAAACTTTAACTTTGATTCTTTCATTATTGCTTATTTATTCACAAGTTTCGTATTATGGTGAAGTACTTAAGATCTGAAACCAAGTTTTCAAGGGCTTTAATCCATAAAACTACACTGGAATGATAAAAACATCAAATTTAATTGCACATGGTGTATGTAAAACAAAGCCTTGGATAACATACCACACACTTGACACAAATGGATCCAGCTGACAAAGTATATAAGCCTGTCTGTGGCAAGGAAATAGTACAAAACATCAAATAGTGGCCATTAACTACACAGTTTATTTGCCTCGTACTCTACGTAGTTTGGTTGTCTGGCACTGAAAGCTTGGAGGGCAGTGAGTATCCTGGTCACGTCTGCACTGGACAGTTTGAGTCTGTGGCGGAGCAGACAGGCGAACAGATCCACGTGTGGGGCCCCAGGAGGCGAGAGACGGTTAACCCTGTAGCGCAGCTCCACCAGCTGTAGCAGGGCAGAGTCCTGTGATCCCTGAGTATATGGGTAGTCTATCTGCAGAATCAGGTCCTGGATGGCCTCGGGGTCAAAGTGCACACTATATCCGAACAGCTGCATGCTGTTCACTTTCATGTAGCCGATGTTGTTAGATGGCTCTGTTGCCTCCAGTGGCTCATAGTACACTGTCGTGTTCTTATTTCCTCCTGTCGCTCCCACAGAGTCCCTGATACGACTCCTCAGGTAGAAATGAACCGTCTCAAAAAAGCTCTTCCATCTGTTTCCAAGTGTCAACGTCCAGTTATAGCAGTCCAAGGGGATATCCAGCTTGGTCCTCTCCCAGTCGGGGTATCCGTGCTGACCTATAGGCATGGTCCAACTCTCTGAATGGCTGCCCCCGAAAGGATTGACAAACAGAGACAGTGCCGGCTCCAGAGTGCTGTTTCTGGTGAGGCAAAACTGGAGGGCGAGTCCAAGGAGCATATGAACACGGTTGGACTTTACCCGGTTGCTTTTGAGGGTGAGCAGCATTCTTTTCCTCCAGGATGGGTCGAACCATGTGTTAACACGCACGTCGTTGCTCACAAACACAGCATGCAGAGCGATGCGTGGGTCGCGCCGCTGGAGCAGGTAGCGCAGCTCCAGATCCTGCAGGTCTCGGTCACTCTCCAAGCCCAGGTAGGGGTCGGTAGGGTCGGGCACGGCGGGCCTGCAGGCTCCCTGGGTCAGGGTGAAGCCCGGGTTACAGCTGGAGCATCGTGTCCGGTTGTCCGTGGAACAGGACGCACAGCGGGGACCGTCGCCCACAGAGCAGGGAATGAGGCCCTGGCAAGGCGGATGGTTGTAGGGGCAGGAGCAGCTGTGGCTCTCGTCACTGTAAACACCAACCTGGTTGTTCTCACTGCAGTATAAAATGGAGAGGGTGTAGCTCAACCAG